TATATATATATATATATATATTGGGATACTACGGAAGTATACATATTGTTATCAAGTAATATAAGACTTTTTGATTAAACATCGAATATCGACCCCACGGGGAAATTAACAATATGCACTATCAAACAATAAACTTCTATTTCAAAAAGACAATTACTTAAATAATAGATAATTTGACAGTAATTAAAATTCAAATCTTTTTGGTATTTTTGATATTTTGACAAAACAGTAATAACTTCTAAATATAACTTGAGTTTATGTAAAAGAAAAGCACAGAATATGAAAATATCTTTCTCCTTATCATGAATCAGTAATAAGTCTAGGAATTATGTTGTGGAAGTTTGCAAATTGTGTTGTGCCAAATAGAAGCAATAATATTTTTTACCCTTAATAGAGATGCTATAGAGAACATTGGGTAATTTAAAGTTTGAATAGTTCTGAAGACCGGCTAAGCAGGGGAGAAACAAGGTCTCCCCCCTCGATTCCCTCCACCTGGGGGCTAACATCTCATATCAAAACCTAAAACAATAAATCAGATTGGGGGCTTTATCCTGTCACTCTAAAGTCCTCTAAGTCTACACCCTTCAAAGATTATTTACCTATTTATTTGCACTAAATCATATAAATTACATTCTCATTCATACAACCTTATGTGATTCTTTCCAATTGTTGACTAAGACAATACCAGCCCAGTTCTTACATGTTCTCACAATAAATTTTAACATCTAGATGGGTCAGATCAATAAGTAAATGAAGTGAATGAAATTAAATCATCACAACTTCTTCCAACATTAAAAATTAATACTCTCCACAACTTTCCTCCAACACTTTTAATTACTTATCATTTTAAGGAGAAAGATAAGGAAAACTACTCAGAATCCACGGAAAAAACAAAACCACACTTTAGTTTAAAAGTAGAAATTCTTGTCAAACCAACAAGAAGTCTAGATAAAAACCAAAAGTAGTCTAAAACAAAGATAAAACTTATCTCAAATCCTCCACCAAACTCTTGAAGTTCCTTTGAATCTCTTGTCTCTTACAACACTCCTAACTCTCACAATCAAACTAAATACAAAAAGGATAAAGTAAATTTGTGGTACATGAATCTCTACACAAGATTCTCCACGATATCCCTCTTAGGACTCCCCCTTTTCAAACACTCTCTCCCTCTTCAAGAACCCACCCTCTCCCTCTTCGAGCACCCACACTAAATGTCTCAACTTTCTTCTTTTATAAATTTCCCAAGAGGAGCCTTGAAAACTCTTCAAAATGTGTCCAAATTCAAAGTATTCTCCAAGGGATGCCTCCTTTCACAAGTCTTTTAATCATATTTTCGTTCCTAGTGGTCATAACCACTCTGTTTAGCCAATAGGTGCCTCAAATGTCTCTTCAAAATTTGACAAAATGAAGTAAACCATCACATAACTACCCCTGATGCTTGAGCACAAGGCCTCTGACGCTTAGGCGCGGCCTTCTCTATTTCACCGGCGCTTAGGCGTCAAAACTCTTTTGCACCACTTTCACATTTTTGCTCCAAATTTGATTCTTTTTCACTCTTTTTAGCATTTTTCACCTTTTTACTTGTACCTGAAAGAAAAAAATACAAATACCTTCCATTTAAGTGCAATATCCAAAAAATAGGTATAAAAATGTGTCTAAAAACACTATATATTTTAGGTGTATCAATTCTCTCTAGGTTTTTCAGTTTCAGTATCTAACTCTATTGAGGGCACTCCAATGGGTGGTTCTATAAGTTTAAATCTCTCCCAAACAATACTAGTGTTGCCTTAAAAAAAAGATCATATTCTTCCTCAGTCATTGTCCAAAAGAAGTCATCCAACTTAGCTTACTCTTCAAGGAACAACACTCTGGACTCAAAATCATGGCTAATATACTGCCCCTGACATTCTTTGGGGTTCATTGCTCAATAGGTTAGCTAACTACCCAATTTGATCTTCTAGGTTTCCAAGGGCTTGGCTTTGTAACTCATTCCCCATGTTTATAACCAATTCATCCAAATACTTATTTTATTTAGGGTAGTCACTATCTAGGGTATTTCAATATTCTACAGGTTTGGCTTAGGTGCTCCACCACTACTGATTTTCTATATTTAGTGTATAACTATTCCAATTGAAGCTTGAGTAAGTTGGCCAATTTAGGTTGTAAGTGTTGGAATATGACTCATCAAACCTATTTTCTATGGTTGGGTGTTCAAAATTCATTTGAATGCTAGTCAACTATGGGTTCATATACTCCTGGAAAGGTATAACTGATTTTCCTAAGGGTTTGTCATTCTGTTAAAACATTTTTTTTACTTTCATTTTTTTATTTTTTATAGTTTTTAATTTTTTTTAATTATAACACAAAAAATAAAGTAGAAAACAAAATAAAATAAAAAATAACAAAATTTTTAAATTTAGATTCCGAGCATTTCAACTAAAAATTTTCTCAAGGATATAAAATTTTGATGACTATCTCCAACACGATGCAAAAAAACTTACTGCCAAAAATTGTTATGAAGCAAGTCAATCAATCAAACTAGTATATGTGTCGATCAAGCAATATGCAAAAAAAGAGTTTGCGTATGGATCCCAAGTGTCAAAATATTTCTAACTGGTGCTCTAATATACTAAATCGCTAAGTTTTGCTTTAAGTGATCAAATACAAGAAATGAATCTAATAGTTTTAAAAATGCAATAAATAAAAATTGTATGAAAAAGTCTTAGGTTTTTGCAGATATGCAAGATTCATACACTTGTGACATCGTTAGGGTGATTTCTTGAAGCTTTCCTATGAAACTCAAACTGTTATTGACAACCAGATAAAAAAATGTTTTTCTTAAGTCTAGGGCTGTGAAATTGGCTCAAAGATTATGAATCACTCTAAAATTGAATTGAATTTTAGCTTGGATCGAACAATTCGAGCTGAGCTACGAGCCAAATTAATGGATCAAAATTATTTCAATTATTCCTCGACTCAAATCGAGATCGGATTGCGATCAAAATAAATTCTTATGTATTTACATATATAACACCAAAAGTTTTACTTTTACATGCTTAGTGCATTGCTAGCTTAGTTGATGAGGTAACGTGGGTTCAAGCCGGACCGACCTGGCTCATGAGCCAAAAACTGCATTCGAGCCGGCTCATTTATAATTCGAGCGGGCTCGAAAATTTGATCAATCCACACTAGATCAGATTGAAATTTACTGGATCGATCCACGATTCAATTTTGACTTGTTAAAAATATTTCGATCTGATTTCGAGCCGGCCCTGGATCGACACAAAATCAGATCATTCACACCCCTTACTTAAGTCGATGCCTGAGTAAGAAGAAGAATAAAAAATCCATAAATTTACGTTTTGCATAACTCTATATTGTTTCCTAGGATTCTTCGATCCCCCATCTAGGTTGCAAAATCCTAACTAGAAAATGCCTATTCTACCATATTTTATGGTTAACCTACTCGCTCCACTACGTCATAGGCAAAAGTCATAGTTCACAAGAGATTTTAACATTCTCATCGCGTTCGATAAAAAATAAGTTATTGTCAAATGGTTAATACATTAACATCAGAAATTCAAGCATAAAAAAACATCGAGGGAATAAAAAATCCATAGAATAAAAATAATAAGAAAACTACATGACTTATATCACAAGTGCATGAGACGAAGTCAATAAAAAATCATGAGAAAAGAAAAATTGAAAATTTTAATTGTAGAATATACCATGCTCCTCTCTAATTAATACACTGTCTCACAAATCTCTTCTAATACATATGCACTTAATCTCCCCTTATAACATCATCAAATTCCTCAAAATAAACATAAAAAAAAGAAGAAACAAGAAAAATACATACTCTTTCTAGTGAAATTGAGGATTAAACTCTTAAAGCTCCAAAGTCTTCCGTAAACCCTAGTGGCTCAGCCCCTAAGGCCAAAAATAGAAGAGCACCAAGTAGTGAAAAGGTTATCACAATTGAAAAAAAATGTCCATATAAGTTTGGTCTTACACATAGTGTTTAGAGAATCTAAGCTAGGAAGACCCAGACCTCTATAAAGTTTGGGCTTAGCAGTGTTATGCCCAGTAATAATGTGAAATTTCCCGATAGAAGCACTAAAAAGAAGGAATTTGTTGATTAAAGAAGAGATACTTTTCTTTAACCTCTTAGGAAATAATGGTGGTTCCAAACCAATATTATATATAACTATGAATCAAATATCTTATCAGTTGTAATCTTCCCTGAAAGTGAGAAGCTTTTGCTTCCAACCGTCGACAAGATTTTGAATCCTGTCAAGCATGCTGGGGAAATTATAGACAATGATTTTAGAAGAGTGTATAGTGATGCCCACATATTTTCAATGGAGGGGCAATCTTTGGAAGTAAGATTTGTCCACTTAACCGAGCCCTTTCCAAATCAGAGACATTTTTAGAATAACAAATTGAGGATTTAACACTATTTGCATTCATGTTTATGGCTCTTTGAAACATGGAGTGATATTATGCAATTCTTGTTAAGATTGCTATGATGCTTTACCAAAGGCCAAAAGGTCATCATCCACATGAACAAGATGACTCAAAGAGAGGCAATTCAGATGAGCAACATTTCAATAATTGTCCATCAACTGTGAAAAGAAACCATCATAATAGTAAAAATATAGGAGGGAAGGGGGAAGCATTCTCTATGGCCTGGTGTTAGAGAAAATATTACGCCAGGAGTCCAGATGCAAGCAACGTCTGGACAACGGATGTCCGAGCTCCCGCTCTCCCCCGCTGTATCACGGCAATACTTTTACGTGGGGTTGAGGGCAAAAAGCTTGATAGCTCATTGTTTAAAATAATAGTAAAATGTATTTGTTTTGTACACGCTGTTTTCCAAGATGTCAAAATTTTGCCGCTCTTGAATTTTGCGCCTGGTTGAGACGTGGACTTCGCTCTACCGCGTTCATTCGTCTTCGCCTTTTCTTTTCCGTCCTCGTTATCACCCGGAATATCACTGTCTGAGACAGGGAACCTTCGATCACGAATCACGAAACAATGGCTACTTCGCCATCGATCAAAGTATGGGAAGCTCTGTTTGCTGCGCTTGCTTGTTTCATGTTGGCAATCCTTTTGTACACGACCATCACTGATGGATCGCCTTTCCGCCTCGAGCTCCTCACACCGTAAGTTTTTCTTAAACAAAGCGAAATCCTCTACTCGATCAATTTTGATACAATTGATAGATTTGTGCAATGGCTCGTGTTGTCTAGGTTTTTTCTTTAGCTTAGGAGTTTGTTTGCCCGCAATCTGTCCAAATAAGAGGTCAGTGCCTCACATAGAGCTATGAAGCCCTGAGGGAAGTCTCCAATGTTCAAGTCACCAGACTGATTGAACCAAAGAAAGAGTGGTTCTGTGGAAGCACTCAGCTCTGGTTCGGGGTATAGCGTGAATGGACTCCGACTTTCCAGGCTTTGTGCTCTCTAGCACACGTTGTCCAGTGAAGGGACTTTATTCAATTGAAAGAATGAGTTAACTTGTGTTGTGAAGAAATGACACAATAAAGCAAAAAATTGGAACGAGAAAATTCACAAATCAGAAACACAGCGGAATAGACATATTTACGTGCAAATTACCTACATCTACAGTGTTGCAGGAGAATTTTATTACTTTGACGATTACACCCGTGGATCACCTCGACGATTACATGAAAATCTCTCCCTCTCTTCCTCTATCCCTCTCCTCTCCTTCTCTCTCTCTAACCAAGATCCATGTGAAGAAGAATCCAAGGAGAGAAAAAACAAAAGCAAGCCTTTTGTTTGCCTTTTTTTCCCTTAAGCATCAGCAGCGAAGGGATTAATGGAGAGAGTTGTTTAGCTTGCATGCCTGTACTAATCCATATTTAAAGCAGCTGAAGAATGCCCACATAAGGAAGTGCTTAATTCACATATCCAGATTAGGCAGCATGGCAAGATCTATAATAGGAAGTGGTAGAATTCCTATTCTGCTTCGCAAAACCGAGAGAGAGGCAGGAGGCGGGCTTCCAAACAGGGAAGGCGCAGGAGAAGCTTCATCAAAGGAATTAATTAAGCAAATAATTTAATTATCTTCCAACTATGTAACAACTGCCAATTTATTGAACAGTGGATCGAGCTTTACTTTCTCAATAAATCTCCCACTTGGAGACTGAGACACTGATTGCATCATCCACTGTGTGTATCATCCTTTTACTCAATCGTGATATCCGCCACCTCTGCAACTCATGACCCCAGTCTTCAAGCTTGAAGACTAGCTGAAGTTGAGCATAACTTCAGCCCCTTCTTTTTTCTGGTCAGCTCTCACTTGCTCAAATTTTCATCTTGCAAGATTTCTTCAGAGTTTTGCGATTCTCCCCGATATGTCAACAAAATGTTGTTTAAGGTCGGTGAGTAATGCTGAAGATAACATCTATTTTTGATTGAACTGCAAACTGTAGCTGTAAGGGTGGACGACTCTGCAACTGACTGCGGAACAATAGGAATGGGTGCCCCGGACCCACTCTCTTCATCACTTCCATCACTGCCCTGCACTGTGACCTCTGGTAGATTAACAAACTATACATTTCTAATGTGGTCATCAATGACTGTGGCATAGTAACAATGACTCTAAGAGATGCCACTGAAGAAGGTCCCTGCACATCTGTGAGTACAAGATCCAATTTTTCTGCCTTTTGACATTCCACCACTTTCCAAGAAACTGACATTTTTTTTGCTTTTTCATAATGCAACTCACACATGCTGAGATCAACTAACTTCAGCTCTGGCAGCTTGACTTTGGACTGAAGTTTTTTCATTTCCCTCTGACTCATGTAATTAAGTCTGAATAATCCTGTAGTCATATATAATGTGTCAGTTTTCTTATTTCGAGCCAGTACCAGCGCTTCTTTTGTAACATTTCAGGAGCTATCTTAGAACTCTATTGTATGACCACCATCATTGTGCTGCTCAACATAAATGAGGTTTTTTTTCAACTCAGGAATGAGTCTCACCTTTTGTAAAGTCCATTTGCTCTTGTTAAGGAGTGCAATATCAACGTCTCTCATCCCCATCATGTCCAGAGTTTTTACATCAGTCAGATATACCTTCTCAAATTTACCTATAACATAGTTCCGTATTAACTCTCGGTGAGAAGATATATGGAAAGAAACCCCTGAATCCAGTTTCTAGTCATTAACAGAACTGTGAACTGTCAGCAATAATTCATCATGTACTTCTTTAGTTACAACATTAGTGCTATCATCCTCCGTCTTTTTCAGATTTTTGTAGTTTCTTTTATGTGAACAACTTTGCCACAATTCCAGCAGGTTGCTTGCTGGCCAGACTTTGACTTGCTCTTGCCTCTGTGATTTGATTTTGATCTTTTTCTGTTTGAGTTTCTGTCCCGTGATTTTCCTCTGGAATCAACATTCAGTGTCAAACTCGAACCTTAGGTCTCACTAGAATCTTACCTGCGCATCTCTTCAGCAAAAATAAAATCACGAATATCATCATATTTCAGCTTAGATTTACCTGCATAATTACTAACCATCATTCTTATGACTTCACAGCTATTTGACAATGAAATTAAGAATATCAGCGCACGTATCTCATCGTCAAAACCAATTTCAACAGACGACAATTGATTTCAAATGGTATTGAAATCATTCAGATGTTGAGCAACAAACACACCTTCCGTCATATTCAAGTTGAATAATTTTTTAATTAAATACACCTTATTATTCGCCGATAACTTTTCATACATATCTGATAAAACCGCCATGAGATCTATAATAGTCATTTCCATGATGATATTATGGGCAACTAATCTCGACAGGATTAATCAAACAACCGTCAGAACCTATCGATAAAATAGATTCCAATCAGTTTCATCCATTTTATCCTATCGTTTTTCCAGTAACGAAAGATGAGTTTCTTCCCATAGCTGTAGTCATCTATTTACACCATCAAGTTATCAAAATCTATGCTATTAAACTTCTCGATCCTTGATGTCATCACTTCATCTCCAGTCACTGCTTTTCCTCAAATCCGAATCAAGATTCTCATAACAATTTTTGCGAAAAAATGACAACAATAAAGCAAAAAATTGGAACGAAAAAATTCACAAAATAGAAACACAGCGGAGCACATAAATTTAAGTGGTTTGACAAATTGCCTATGTTCTCGAAGTTGCAGAGGAATTTTATTACTTTGAAGATTACACACGTGGATCACCTCGACGATTATAAGAAAATCTCTCGCTCTCTCCCCTATCTCTCTCTCTCTAACCAAGAGCCATGTGAAGAAGAATCCAAGGAGAAAAAAAACAAAAGAAAGCCCTTTGTTTGCCCTTTTTTTTTTTTTTTCTCGTAAGCGTCAGCAGCGGAGGGATTAATGGAGAGAGCGGGTTAGGTTGCATGCCTTTACTAATCCATATTTAAAGCAGCTGAAGATGGCCCATATAAGGAAGTGCTTAATTCGCGTATCCAGATTAGGCAGCATGGCGGGATCCCTTATTGGAAGTGGCGGAATTCCTATTCGGCTTCGCGAAACCGAGAGAGAGGCGGGAGGCGGGAGGCGGGCTTCCAAACTGGGAAGGCGCGGGAGAAGCTTCATCAAAGGAATTAATTAAGCAAATAATTTAATTAGCTTCCAACTATGAAACAACTGCCAATTTATTGAACAGTGGAAACAGACTTGGAAACTTCTATCTGTAGCCTTGACCAGGTTGGTATTGGCATTTAGAATGATTTATGGGGATGCCATTTTGTGGCCATGCTTATGCTAATTTAGAGCCAATATCCGCATCTGTACAGGTCAGTTATTGGTTTCACAGTTAGCGTGTATCTTGATGAACTAGCGATTAGGATAATAAAAAAATTTTGAGTAAGAATTTAATAAGAATGAGAGAATGAACTTAAAAAATTATCAAACTCAAGGTAAAATTATGTGATTGAGTGAGATGCACCTATGTCTATGGCTATACAACGCTCTAATATTCCATTGAGCTTAAAAAGAGAAAGAAATATTGCATTTCATATAAATAATGGTAAAGGTACTTTTTGTCTGAGTGAATGGCTAAAAATGAACACTATTTTTTGTTGTGAAGATGATGGCTTCGAGAAATATGGATGTAATATTTTCTTTCTTTTTTATTCTCTATTGTGAGAACTACTGTTTCATTTACAGGAGGATGTACCTTGGTGTATGCTTTTCACTGATGAGATCCTTCTTGTGGATAAGACTAAAAACTTGAATTATGGAGGAGTCTAAAGGCCTTACATTCGAGTAGATCTAAAGCTGATTATAGGCAATGCAATTTTAATAGTAGCAGATCTAAGGTTAAAGTTGTAACAATGTGTGATCAAATTATTAAAACGAGTGAACGTTTTAGATATCTCGGGTTTATTGTTTAAAGGGATGGTGATATAGATAAAGATGTTATTAGTATAGTTCAAGTTGGATTGTTGAAGTGGAGGAATGCATCGAACCTTTTGTGTGATAGAAAAGTGTCTCCTAAACTTAAAAGAAAATGTTATAAGTTGGTAGTGAGACATGCGATGCTTTTCTACCCATGCAACAACACAAACACACAATTGCTACTTGCCTCCTTTTGGTATGGACATTATGCAAGGTAGTTATAATGAAGAAAACTGGTCCTGAATGCTGAAATTAAAGTAGGATGGGGATGAAATAGTTGCCTTTGTGTTAGAGAGGGTAGTGAAGGCAATCACAAGTTCGATAGGCTTACATAGTTGTGTTTCGATGATCTAGAGCGAGGAATGGCAGCTCTGGTGATTTTCGACAACTACCACGATTTGGCACACAATGGACATAGGGAGAAGTTTATTCTTAGTGTTTACATTGGGTAACCATAATGGCTTGCAATTTTGCTTGTGATGGAGTTAAATAAATATTTAGTAAGCATTATACGGAATAGTTATTATGCAAGAAGAAGCAGATGGAATGAAAACAAAAAGCAGATGTGTGGTTATGTTATCGATTAATTCTCTCTCCGCATCTCTTTTTTATCTCTCTTATCACTCAATGAGTAGTACTTATCTTTTTTTCTTATAGAGAATGATCCCCATGCTTAGATTATGCCTTGTCCTAGCTTTTGCGCTTACGAATACCAAAAAATCCACATGTTGCTAGTATGGAGGCCCCTGTTTGCTGCCACAGTTGGACGCATTGATGTTATCATTAAACAAAAATATGAGAGCACATGTTGAAGGGAGGAGAAACCATAGCAAGGCTGAACTTCGAGTTTTGTGCAAACTCGAGTAGGACTTTGAGATCCAGTCTTTCTTAATGACTTATGCTGGCTTATGATTTGTTTTTGGTGATGTTTACTCTGTGATATTATTAAATTGTAAAATATAACTGCTAGAAAGAAACAGATGAATTGTTTTTGGAGCTTCTTTGCCTTTCCTTTTTAATTTTATGGATAGAAGATCTTGATTTAAGGGACGAAGGGGTTATACATGATGTTACTTGAAATGTAAGGTATAATCACATAATGATTAGTAGAGTGCCTGAGAGAAGGGGTCCTATTATGCAAAATTGGAATATTTTATAGAATTAAATGGAGGACAAATTTTCATCTAAGACACTCATCCATGTTGTATAATTCTGTCGGTAGTTCTAAGCATTGAATTTGTTTATTAAATGATGCATCGTGTGCTCATTAGCGAAAAAAATTAGAAAAAAAAGGTGTAAACTAAAATAACATGGCAAAAATACTTGCACATTGGAAAGTTTATGAAACACTTGGTATGAATGAATGGAGAATGATGATTCTTATAACTATCCACTAATAGTTGTGAAAAGGACAATGATGACGTGACTGTACGTTGAACTATATGTAATTCTAACCTCAAATATTTGGAATAAGCTAATGAAGTTATTTGCTTTGAGTTGATGGTCCATCATTCTAGTGATAGAAGTGATATGATATTTCTGATGAAATTGCACGTGAAAGGTTATGAATATCATGGCCAATTCATACCTTTTGACAAGTTAGGTTAAGCCAGAGTTCAAAAGATTCTTTGATCCTACTCTTTTTTTTTTGTTTGAAAGGTGAAATCTGAATATATTAGTTGTTAATGACACCACAACAGTTAATTAAATTTAAGTTGCAGTCTAAAATAGCTATATGTCTATTTTTGTGTCATCATGAAGGATTTTTTCTTTACATTTTGATATTAGCAGTTGATTAATTTGTCATGCTTCCTTCCATGTCAGGTCAAAATTCTTGTTCACTATATCTAATTAATTACTTTATTGGTGAATATTTGTTTTCACTGTACTTATGATCTGCTTATTCTTATAGGTGGCTATCTGCAACTCTAGTTGACTTCTTTGTTAATGTTGTTGCTATTGCGGTAAATTCAGACTCTAATTTCTTCTCTCTCTTTTTTTATGTCTCCCACAAATACTTTCCCTTTATGCTTTGATAGTTTACTTGCCACAAGGGATTGCATTATAAATGCATTTAGTTCTAGAAGAAATAAAACATTAAATAAGATTCATGTTATTTAAGCTATAGAAGAGGCTGGCTCGTTTGGAAAATGGAAAATTTAATTGCTTAGGCAAGTGCTAAAACATTCATGTTTGATAACATTTAATGTCATTGAGATCAGCAAGAACCTCTTCCCCGCTATCATGTTCTGCTTTAAGCATCCTCTTATTCTATTTTGCAATTAAGCACTACCTTTTATTTTTGCCCTCAATCAACTATTTATTTTTATTTATTTTTTTTCCAGTAGCTTCTACTCATTGCTATTTTTAATTCTATCTTAAAACCTTGCCCCTCATTTTCGTAACTAGAAAATATTAAAACATAGTTTACATTTTTATGGATGTAGGATATTCTACCTAGTAGCTATAGATCTATGTGTGTGTGTGTGTGTGTGTGTGAAGCCCAAAGGCTGATTTTATTGAAATAAAAAAGATACATAAAGGTTGTATGAGGGAGCCCAATAGAGACACTCTACCCATACGATACCAAGTACAGTACTACCCCAACACAAGGTTACAAATAGACTCAAAAAATTTAAAACATGCAAAAAACAAGTAGCTAGGGACGAGCCAGTTTAGTCTTGCCTCTTCCTCTAGTTTTAGGAGCGGAGCCAGATAACAAACTTTGAAGTGTCGTGATAATCCATTGTCAGGAGTAACCAAAGTATCATCCATTAAGTTTTCAAGTTGAAGTGTGCTCTCAGTCTTCTTCTTCTGCCGAGAAGTGTAAACCTGTCATTCTTCATCTGAAGACTGGCTCTTGTGATCATCGGTCTGATTAGATATTAGAACCTCAGTAGAAGGAAAGACAGTCGTTGCTACAACGATATGTTCCAGTGTATGTAAAGTGTGAATTGTCATCTCTGCACCTGATGCTTCCTGAATAGGAGCCGCAGGGCTATCCTGACTTTCGGTCCGAACCTCTACACCTGATGCTTTCTTAATAGGAGCTGCGGGGCCATCCTGACTTTCAGTCCGAACATTATCCTTTATAATATGGTCCGGAGAAGGGTTCCCAGGGGTTGTGGTGATTCCCTTCTCAAGTTGGCTGTCATCAGGTTTGCTGAAAGCTGCATGTTCCTGCTTTTGACTATTGGTTCTCAACTGTCGGTGCAATCTGAAACATTTCTCTTGCAGGTCTCCGAGTATCTTGCAGTGCTTGTAGTAGTGAGATTTTTGTTCCATAATGATTTTCTGCCAATAACCATTGTGAGCAGAGTCAAACCAGACTTCTTCTACATCTGGTAGTGTAATATCCTTTTCAATCAAAATTTTCAATCATCCTTTTCAATCAAAATCCTTGCAATAGAAGGTCTTGAGAAATGAACTGTAGGTCTGTCTGCCTGCAAAGTTTTTTCAAGAATAGTCTCAATTGCATATAAGATAGGTAGGTCAATGAATTGAGGCTTGAGTTCAGGTAATTAGAACCAGATAGGCGCAATTGGAAGTTCTTGACTGAAATCAAAATCAGGGGTCTATTTGAGCAATTCATATGATTGCCCTCGATTGTGATGAATTTCTGTGAGAAAATCCTTGTGTAATCTTCTTCGATGCTCAACTGTACCATAACATGTCTTTAGTCGAAAAGACCCACCTGCCAAACCTCAACTAGTTTGAAATCTTCAAAAACCTTCCTGATAATTTTCATCTTAGGGCGACCTAATTTGAACTTTCCAACTACTAAAAATTTGTACATTCCTGCACAAGTTGAAATTTCAGCGTCAGAGAATAATAGTACTGGTTTGCTCGCTTTTTTCTCTATTTTTTTGATGAGATTACAATCTCCAAGTCCTGCAACAAAATCATGGTACATCTGCGGGAACATCGGACTATCTGCAAGGTGGAAAGAAGAGCTGCGTTTGTGAACCACTGTATCATCGGCGGGTTTGGCGGGATTATCACTCTGTGAGGGCGGCGGCGTAGGAAAACCCTGAGGCCATTATCGTGCTTCAGACAAGCACTGCAGAGCACCTGACACGTGAAGGAAAAAGCTCCTAAGGAGGATTAGCGCTGTAGAGCACCTGACGCGTGAAGGAAGGAGCAAATGCCGAGTAGAGAACTGCCAAAACGATGCACGAAGAGGACGAGCACGACGAAGAGAAATGCAGTGAAGTGGAAACCAGGGTTCGCCATAGAGGCGAAACCCTAGTAGAGCATGAGCGATGGCGACGACCCCGCCAATATATATATATATATACAGACAGAAAAACAGACAACAGACAAATATAGATAGATAGAGAGAGAGAGAGAGACAGACAGACAAAGAGATAGAGAGATAGATAGATAGATAGATAGAGACAGAGAGAGAGACAGAGAGAGAGATAGAGAGAGAAAGACAAAGAAAGGCAAAGAGACAGACATAGAGAGAGACAGACAGAGAGATAGACAGAGAGAGAGACAGAGAGACAGAGAGACAGAGAGACGGAGAGAGAGAGACAGAGAGAGAGATAAATATATAGATAGATAGACAGATAGAGAGATATATAAATAGATAGATAGACAAATAGAGACAGAGAGAGTGAGAGAGATAGAGAGAGACAGACAAATATAAAGATATATAAATAGATAGATAGACAAATAGAAAGATATATAAATATATAGATAGACAGATAGAGACAGAGAGAGAGATAGAGAGAGAGAGAGACAGACAAATATGGATAGATAGATATAGATAGATAGATAGAGAGAGACAGAGAGATAGACAGACAGAGAGATAGATTGACAGATAGATAGACAGAGAGACAGAGAGACAGACAGATAGAGAGACAGAGAGATAGATAGACAGATAGATAGAGAGATAGAGAGACAGACAGATAGATAGACAGACAGAGAGATAAACAAACAGAGATAGACAAAGAGAGAGAGAGACAGACAGATAGACAGATAGAAAGACATATAGATAGATAGACAGATAGACAGAGAGAGAGATAGAGAGATAGATAGATAGATAAATAGAGACAGAGAGAGAGAGATAGACAGACATATAGACATACAGATAGAGAGAGAGACAGACAGACAGAGAGATAAAGAGATAGATAGAGAGACAGAGAGAAATAGAGAGATAGACAGACAAAGAGATAGAGACATAGGTAGACAGGTAGACAGATAGACAAATAGAGAGATAGATAGACAAATAGACAGATAGACATATAGAGAGATAGATAGACAGATAGACATATAGAGATAGATAGACAGCTAGACAGATAGACAGATAGAGAGAGATAGAGAGATACAGAGATAGACAGATAGACAGATAGACAGATAGAGAGAAAAAGAGAGAGAGAGAGAGAGAGATAGATGGACAGAGAGAGATATAGAGATAGAGAGATAGACAGAGAGATATAGAGATAGAGAGATAGACAGAGAGAGAGATAGAGAGATAGACAGAGAGAGATAGATAGACAGGCAGATAGAGAGATAGAGAGACAGATAGACAGAGAGACAAATAGAGAGATAGAGAGATAGAGAGATAGACAGAGAGACAAATAGATAGACAGATAGATAGATAGACATATAGACAGATAGATAGATAGATAGACAGATAGATAGATAGATAGATAGATAAACAGATAGACAAACAGACAGACTTGTGGATATTAAGGTGCTCCTTATCTTATTGGTGAAATTGTTGTTATTTGGTTATTAAATTATTGGCCGTTGCGGTATCCTGTGTTGGGTGTGAAAACGGTAGAATATTTTGATAAAACAACAAGAAACTTGGGATCCTTTTTTGCGCTTCTAGCATGTTGATGCATTATTATCATTTATTGTTATTTTCAATCAAGTTTTGTCAATTGGATCTTCCATATTTCTTTTCAGTTATTTATTGTCAATCTTTCAATCTATTGTTCCAAGACTGATTGCTGGTACTAGTTTCTAAAAGTGGGTAGTTAACCGTGGTTTGTGCTATGGACCTTTAATTAATTCCAATTCATTCTTTTAGAAGCTGATGGATTTGAAGGTGATGTTCTTCTTTTGAATTTGGTCATTTGAGTGGTGAAGAATACCAAGGTGTGTTCATCTTTTACAATAAGCAAGCACTATTGAACGCCGTTCTCTTGTAGGTGGACCTCAACTTGTCTCATTTATTTCAATGTCTTTTTTATCCTCTTTTCAAACAATAACTTAATACATGGCCATTGCACCATGCTCCTTATCTTTGTCTTCCACACTTATAAGAAGAAAAACTTGAGCCAATTTTTTTTCATGGCTGATTTTTTCCTGTTCCCCTATTGAAATTGACTCATCTAGACGCAAAACAATAATTCGGGATTCCTACTCTAATTGATTGCTTCAACCTCCTCCATTCTGTCCTGCTTTCTATAAATGATGCTTTGAGGACCACCATTCTCCGTCACCTTTGGTTACACAAGCCATCACATCTAACCACACTTGATCACACAAACGGCCAATCAAATCCTTTCAGTCATACCATTTATTTTGGGCATCAAATCAATCATACAAACTGCTAGTTAAACCCTCTGATCATACATACTGTCAAGTACGCACAATTCATGTAGACTAGAATGAAGCTCAAGCTAAGTTTCCCTTTCTTAGAAGCTATTCATGGTACAAGCTTGTTGGGAGTCATTTCTTGATCGCACCTCTACTTCAACAATCACTCCTATTCATAAAATCACCCTAGCTTCTACTTTACCGCCCTCACTTTTGGCCACCAAGACCTGTATGGGTGTCATCATACATGAGTTTCAACACCTCTATATGATCTTCGTCATCCCTACTTACTAAGTGTTTCCTAGCGCAAGTCATTTGAGCCAATACATGTAATTAAACACAATATAGGAATGTCACCATGCGGTAACCAAAGTGATATGAGGGTCTATGTGATACATCAGATTATTTA